AGCCCGGGCACCGCACAAACTATTGAGCAGAAGGGGGACGCTAGTTGTTCTGAGGCGGCCAGTTAGTAGCGTTAGTTGGGGCAGACCAGTGATACGCGTTGATTCCGAGACTCCAGACTAAGGTTTTTGGAAGGGGTTTATACCATAACAATGACAATAATGATAATATAGTAATAATAATGATGGTAATATTGTCCAGGCACACAGGAGCGTTATTGTCTTAATACTATTTATGAATTAGTATTTTTTTGCAGCAGCGAGTATTTTGGTTTTTCTGGTTCAGCGTTAGTTCTCCAATTTCAAGCCAATGTTGTCGAGGTGCCAAATTCTGCGTGCCATTTGCCGTTCTCAAGTTTCGCTGAAACTGTGCAGTTCGACGGCGACAGCCCAGAACAATATAACATATCGTATGGGCCTAGATCCATCCGCAAGCCATGCTTCACAGCCTGCTGTAATAGCTGGCGAAAACAAAATGCTCAGCTACGGGGATCTGTCGAAACGGGTCGGCTCTGTTGTCACACTTCTACGCCATACCTATGGAGTTGAGGTATTTTATTTTTCCTACTTTCGATGAGCTATTTTTTGACGGTCATGTTTCTTCTCACGCGCCATTGATACAGCTAGCAACTTCTCCATTCTTCACCCTGTTTTGAGCTTTTCTCATCCACATAATGTGTTGGGGGAGGTGGGGGGGAAGGGAGGGTTGAGTCTATAAGCTGGCGATGGACTGCTGTAAAAATGTTTTTTTTTTATGTTGCAGCGCGGTGATAGAATACTGTGTCGTGTGGAGAAAACGGTAGATAGTTTAGCGTTGTATTTGGCAACTTTGCGCCTTGGAGCTATCTATGTACCGCTCAGCCCAGCCTACACAGCCCCCGAAACCATATATTTTGTCAAAGTAAGTTTTTTTTTTTTTAAATCCCCTTGTTTTGATAAATACAAGCATTCTTCCATGCTTATTTTGTGCTTTTTTACGCATTTTTGCATGTGTACAATACAAAAACGCATATTCCGAGAGGCCGTCTGTTTGTTTACCTGTACAGTTTTTTTATCTCGAGACCTACAAAAGCTACAAGGCTGAAACTTTGGGTACGTAATCTACATATAAATACGGGTCCTCATCGCCAAAATGGGCGCTCTTACCCGTGTGGTTTCCATGAACAGACCCGACAAAATTTTTGACTGGTAAACTGCTAGCTCGGGAACCAGAAAAACTAGGAAGCTGAGATTTTAAGGAGATATTCCTCGTCCGTGTAGAACTTAATGATTTCAAACCCAGCCCCCAGGTATGCGTGATTCCCATGTACAAGTCCGTGAAAGTTTTTTGCAAGTAGGTTGCTGATTCGGTAAATTGAAAAGCTAGAAAGCTGGAATTTTAAGAGATTATCCTCGTCAAATTGAACGATCGGAGACGGAAAGGGATTGAGCCATTGGTAATGGGGCTGGTTTTCTCGCTGGCGGAATCGAACGTTCGATTTTTGATCCTTACAGCCGTGCTACTTCTACTCCGCCGTGTCTTTTGGCATACACAGTGGTTTTGAGGCTTTTTTTTTTTCCATTGTAGCAGTATTCCTCAGAAATAATAAACGAATTGAATCCCTTTTTTCGCTTT